CCAAGAGGCATTTCGAACGGGTTATACCCCTTCTTTCCCACCTTCATATTGAGGCGGGAGAAAAGTGGACAAGGTACTCCCAAAATGGCAATGTCGTCCTTGGTTGGCATAAACATGTGTCCTAGAATGAATGTGAGGAGTTAGCAATGTGCAGCTTCCTGTGTTCCAGAGACAGCGTTGCAGTGACCACCCCTAGGTACACGCATGCTTTTTGGTAAATAAGGCAAGGCTCGTCAACGCTGAGTACACTGTGGGTCTTGTCGCAAATGGCGCAATGCCCGCCTTCAGTGTCATCCACGATGTCATGGAAGAAATGCTCCCCTTAGTTAGCAACGTCGCACACAGCTTCATCTTAGTTGAAGGAGGGCGCTACACTGGTGGAGTCTCCCCACTATTTTGCTGCAAATGATCCCTGTCACACCGGTCACTGCCACCACAGAGTTCAGATTCAGAATTCACACTCAGTTTTTGGAGGGAACATTGGGACTTGGAATAAGGCTTCAACTTCACGTGTTGAAACTTCCTGCGAGTTGCAGTCATAGTGCTTGAGGTTCCAGGCTTCCAGCCTCTTGTAATTCTCGGAGCTGAACTTTAGCTGAAAGTTCACTGGCAGCTTTTGGGAAACACACTTCCTTAGTTTGGTGGAAGTAAACGAAGTGATAATGAGCTGGACAAACTCGAAAAGCAAGCATTTGTGCAGCAAATCATGAATGAATCAAAGTCATTGCGCCAATGATTCTGGTTCCAAACTATATAATAAATGACTATATAATATGCCTATATATATAATTAATCCATTCTTAGCCAAGGCAAAGGCCTAAGGCAGCATCTTAAGATAAATCATACAACAGCAAATAGATCAGGATCTTGTCAATGTAAACAAGTGAACTTGCCACACACTCAGATTCAAATCAATGGGTCTGGGTCTGTTTGTGTGTTTTGTAAATTCCCCACTGAGTGACGCCAGATAGGCGGAGGTTCCACAGCCTTCGCATCCTCCCCAAATGGTGATCCTTGGTGTTTGTGGCTGGCTAGATAGGGCATGGGGCATCCCGTTGAGGTTCAACTGTAGTTCAACTCAACAATGAGTGAGGCTTCAAAAATGGAGTGGGAACAATGACACTTCTGAAAATAGTCACCCCCTAACCAATGACTCCAACACATTCCTTCACATCCCTGGGCCCGCAAAGTGGATCAACCAGGCTGCTTCTCCGGGTACTTGCGCAGGATCTCCTTGTCGTCCTCGGTCAGCTCGGCCACTTTCAGGTACCTGAGAGGTGTTCGAGCTGGGACATCTCTCCCAAACTCTTGCACTCTATTCATATGTAGTCATGTAGTTGTATAAGTTATATTATATATAGGCCAGGCTATACAACATGATCATATCACTCCTTGTTTCTCTCTCGGTGTTCAATACAAATAAACAAGCAAAACTAAACTTTATTGTGATATACAGTACGGATCAGTACAGAGTATTTATACAATCTTATGGCACACAGCCTGTGACACGAGATGGGCATCACACCAACTACAATTGGACGGGCTTGTTTGCAGGAAAAGCTCTCATCGATCCAGTAGTCGGGGAAGACTGTCAACGGCGTGCATCTGTCGACCATTTGCTTCCTTATCATCTGAAGCAGATCCTCAGCTGGCTAAATGCATCTCAAAATTCACAAAATGTGAAATTCACAATTCACCTGTTCTTTTCTCTTAAACCATGAATCAAAAATGTCAAATGATTCAATGATATCATATTGGCTGATATCCCTGGGTGCCAAGAGTCTCCCCAATTGGTGGAGGTTGACTCACTCGCCATGGCCATGACCTTCGGCCCTTTGCTTTGCTTGAACCCAGTGCTGAGATGTGGCGGCTTCTGAAGAAAGCTAAGAAAAGTCTTGGACCTTCCTCTCCATCTTGAGGCCAGGAACGCATGATCAAACAATGCTTCTTGGCCCAGCTCCCAACTCTTCATCCATTAAAAGGCCCAAACACAAGGGCCTCCAAAGCCCACGGTGAAGCCAAGTGTAGGACACTGAGTTCTTATTTAGGGCACACTTATGACAGCACATAATCTGTTACATGGACTGTGACGGGGTGCAAGTTCAGTACTGCAAATAAAACAGACAGCACCCAATAAAGAGGCCAATAAAGGGTCTAATACATATATATAGTTTCAGACTCATATATATATATATATAAACATTTCTAGATAAACGCGTGTTGCGTACTATGTTATCTAGTTGAGAGATATCAAGACGTATGTAGGCACATTGAGTGGAATTATACAGACAGACGCAAACACACAGAAAGAGATACAGAATTGGCCGAGGCAACTGCAAACTAAACAAAAATGCTGATGATCAGTCACGCTGTGGACACACATATTATCTGAACTGAGAAATAGCGCGCAAGATAGATGCATTTATATTTCTCGTCTGTGGTTCTGCTCTGTCCACTACGCACTTCACTTTCTTCCTGGCGCCAAGGCGCAATTATCAATCTGCAGGTTGACAGCTGTATAACGGCGCAACGATAGATAGACGAGGAGGGACAAAAAAAACCTAGTCGTAGATAGCCTCCAACGGCTCCGCCAGCTGCAGCGGGAGCCGACACCGCAACCTGCGCCGGCTACCGAAAATTTTCCTCTACTTCGAGTGATCCCCGCCATGCCATTTCAATCATTTGAATCTCGTGCCATGGTGAGGAGCGTGTTGCCATGGTCGTGAGCTTTGTGGTTTTCGATTGCGTTTGTGGGTCGTCGGGTTTGGGATTGCTATTTTGGTGTTAGGGAGTTCGCGTCGGGGTGCCGCCAGGGTCTCCAGCTGCCATCCATATGCTACCCTGTGACCGCCTGGAACAAAAAACGCCATGCGCGCACAGGTAACTATATTGATGCGGTTGTGTCTGAGTGTGGTGGTTGTGTGTTGGGGTTGCGTGCTGTGGTTGTGTGTTGCGGTTGTGCGCTTGTGGTTTCTGTGTTTGCGGTTGCGTGTTGTGGTTGTGTGTTTGTGATTGCGCTTGTGGTTGTGTTTGTGGTTATGTTCGTGATGATGTGTTTGCGTGTTGGTGTTTACGCGTTTGCGTTTGTGATTGTGTGGTTGGTTGTGGTTGTGTGTTTGTCGTTGTGTGATTGTGTTCGTGGTTTGCTTGTTTGTGGTTGTGTTTTGCGCTTATGCGTTGTGGTTGTGCAATGTTGTGCACTGTTGGTTGTGTACTGTGTGTTTGTGGTTATGTTGTGTGTGTGTTATGTGTTGCGGCGGCGAGGAGGACGGAGGAAGGAGGCAGGAGGGAGAAGAGCTGTACTTCATTGCGCCCTAGGCGTCGCCTATCGAGCTTCTCCACTTCATGTGGCTCTCTCTTGCGGAGTGTCCTCCCTTCTGGACTTTCTGGCCATGTTTTCACGAAAGCGAGCCTCAGCTAGCTGAGGTTGTTCTTACTTTAGAAACCTTAAATAATTGATTGTATATATCAATCTTTAGACCCACCCCCTCCAGAGGTTCAACCCCTCCTGCGCGCGGTGAGCGCGTGGACGTTTGCTGCTGCAGCTGCTTTGGTGTCCTGCTGCTGCTGGGTGGTCTGCTGCTGCTGCTGCTGATTGGTCTGCTGCTGCTGCTGCTGCTGCAGCGGAGTGGTCTGCTGCTGCAGCTGCTGGGTTGTTAGCTGCTGCTGTTGGGTGGTCTGCTGCTGCAGCTGCTGGGTGGTTGCTGCTGCTTGGTGGTTTGCTGGTGCTGCTGCTGCTGCTGCTTCTTTTTTGAGGTGGCCATGTAGAAGTGGAAGTGGTGCATGTCACGCCTACTGCTGCTACTACGCATCAAAATCTTGGCTTGGTGCTACTGCTGCTGCTGCTGCTGGTGCTGGGCGGTCTGCTGCTGCTGCTGGTGCTGGGTGGTCTCCTGTTGTTTGGTGGTCTGCTGCTGTTTGGTGGTCTGCTGCAGTTGCTTGCTGGTCTGCTGCTGCTTGGTGGTCTGTTGTTGCCGGGGTCTGCTGCTGCTGTTGCTGGGTCTGCTGCTGCTGTTAGGTCTGCTGCTGTTAGGTCTAGGGTTTAGGGTTTAGTCTGTTAGGTCTGCTGCTGCTGCTGCTGCTTGGTGGTCTGCTGCTCTGCTGCTGCGCTGCTTGGTCTGCTGCTGGGTGGTTTGTTGCTTGGTTGTTTGCGCAGCCATGCGCTAGCATGCGCACAGCTCCCCGCCCGGCCAACTTTCGTTCACCCTCTTTGGCCTCAAGTTTCTTGACCTTCGTCCTCGTTTTCATGCTCTACGTATGCTCCCACCTATGCTGCTTTGTTGTTTTGCTTGCCAACATTTGGTCCACCCCCCTCTCAAGTGTTCGTTTGGCTCGCACGAAAGAAATTTGCAACAACTGCCTGTTTCGTTGCAGCATGTCCCGATGAACCTCGATATTTTTGCATTATGGCATTTGACAGACACCCCTTCGGAGGAACGGCAGAACATGGCCAAGGAGAGCCAACTGGGCGGAGTAATGGGGGGCCGTGTCCTGTTGTGACACTGGTGACACGTTAATTTCAATCATCACATCTCAGCCAGATGATCGATGCGCAGGCGCAAACCCACGCCCCAAAAGAGGCATTCGTCCAAGCATACTTGTGACTGTGTTCGACCTCACTTTGTTTTCATTTGGATCCGATCCATGCTTGCATTTTTGAATGCTGTTTTGCCAGGCTCCAAAGCTGCGGATCCGCATTCCCCGTAATGCAGAAGCGGATGCTTGAGAGAACATGAAAATGTCGACCATGGACGAATTTGCACATTTGAGTACTTGGCGGGGGGGGGGGCAGGACATCTTGAAATTACAATTGAGACGATTTGCTCGACGTCAAGGGTTCATCATTCCATATACAGCGGATATGTCGTCCGCTGTTTCGCTGCTTTGTTTTAGCACGCAAACCATGCCACACCACGCAATCACAATGTAAAGTTATTTTTGCGCACGCATGCCAACAAAATTAATTTTTGTTGAGCAATTGTTCAAAATCAGTTACAGTATGTTGCAGTGAACTTATTTCATTTGTGTCATGTTGGAGTGGCGATGCGGGGTATCCCTGACATGTTTATTGGCGGTTGAGGTGGCAGGTGGCAGGCCGAGGGTTGGTGCATTCACGTTTACCGAACTAGGTGCACACGTTCGCGCCTCAGTTTGCTGCAAGAGACGAATACACCAATTGTTCTGAACAAAAATGGGCAGATGGGCCGCATTGTTTGAACACTGTCGCTGCTGCGTGAAACGCTATTTTTTGTTTCAACAAGGTTTTGACCTCGTTCACGCCATATGCCCTGGAGCTGCAAACCAAGCATGCAGCAAACTGACAAGATTTGAGAAGTCAAACAAGATCTGCACTGTTTGCTCCTGCGCACTGCACAGTTACCCAGTGGGTTCGCAGGTGCCCTCCAGCTCCCACCTACGAGCTTCAAGCGCTTGTGAAGGCAAGGAACATATGAACATTGACACAAGATACCATTACAGTTAAAAGAGAGCCGGTTGACTGTTAGGAAGACACATGATGTTTGACATGTTTGAAACATAATGCAACGTGTTTCCTCACTTTGTGAGAGAGGCCAGTGAAAAGGCCAACGATGCCATTGTCCTTGCACAAGACATGGGGGCTGAGGCCGTTCGGATATGCAGCATCGAGACGTTAAATGGTCAAAGCTGACAAACTTAACCGGTAGGAAACAGGTTGCACGTAATTTGCAGCCTGAGTTTGCATGAGTTTTCACCCGTCAAACATTCACAGCATGGTAATTCTGTGTCACGTGAAAGGATTTGAAGCTCGACAAACATGTCAACAACACACCACCCCGAGATCGGACAATGGAAGGTCTAGAAACACATATCCGAAGGTGCGAGAAGTTTGCAAAGATGAACAAAGAAATTGATTCAACATGGTCGACTAAAGTTTATTAAAGAGGCTCAAACACATCCGAATCCGTTCTTTTGTTTTTTCGTTTATTGACCGAGATGTTGTTTCAATGGGCCTAGCTATGCCTAGTGCTATGCCGCCGAGCAAAGACTTAGATGTTACTGCATTTTGTTACTACGGTTTTGCTACCCTCACATGCGAAGAACCTAAGTTTTAAGTGCACCTTCCCAACAGCAACACGTGATGAGATTGACTAGCTATAGAAAAAAAGTGTTGGATAGTGTTTGAATTGTGATTTACTCTACATGTTGGGTCTTAAAGTTTCAGAGAAAATACGGTAGAGACATCTCGAAAGTTGTTCATAAGGTTTTCTAAAAGCAAGAATGCTACTAGGAGCAAAGGGCATCGCTACTAGGAGCAAGAGGACACTACGAACGGAACAAACTAAGTTAAAAAGGTTCGAAGAGATCCGATTTTTGCGAGCTCGTGTGAACTCGTGTGGCCAGAAAGCTGCTCGGCTTGCCAAACGAGCTGTGGACCACATCAGCCAGGACTTCGTTTTGGGTTTTGAAGTTTCTAATAGTTTTTTGTTACTACTAGTAAGGCACTGTTACTAGAAGCGATGCACTTGTTTCTAATAGCTTCTTGTTTCTAATAACATTCAAGACACTTTGGAACACACTTTGGAACTGTTTTGTTTCTCCAGCTGTTTTGGCAGGTGAAAGGCTGGTTCACTTACTACGTGGGAAGCCACAGCACAAATGTGTTGACTTAAAAGCTTGGCACTTTGAACATGTTTCGCAAGTCTTGCAGGTCTATAGGGTCTACACAGATTTGCAAGACGTTGTGGCCTCAGAGCGCAAGCAGTTACAAGCAGTTTTTGCAATAATTGCTTTGCCAGCTGTGTGTCTCGGGAGAAGTCGAAAAAACACCGGACTGGAAACCGTAAAACGAGTCCAAGTTGAAACTTGGTTCGATTCTGGGGAAAGAGACACCAGGAGCTGCTAGTAGACATACTAGTAGCGTCCTTTTGTTACTAGAAGCGATGCCTGGAGCTACTAGTAGCGTCCTTGCTCCTAGTAGCGATGCCAGGAGCCCCCAGTAGCTTCTTAGTAGAGAGTTTCTTGCAGTTCTCTCAGCGAAAAAGCTCCTAGTAGCGTCTTTGTTCCTAGTAGTAAGGCCAGGAGCCCCTAGCTTCTTGCTCCTAGTAGCGATGCCCCTTTGTTAGTAGCCTTTTGTCATTTTGCGAAGCTGCGGGAAACCGATGCGTGACATTTATCGAGTCGGCGCAGTTTGGATGCATGACTGACCGTCGAAGTCTCGGCGTCCGAACGGGACCCAAAGGGCTTCCAATCCAAACCAGAGAAGAAACACAGAGAAGACAGATTGAAAAAGCGGCCCATGCGGCCCTTTAGGCCCTTAGAGGGACTTAAGATTGTCGAATGCGAGCCCACTTGGACTCGGACTCCTTCAGGATATCCACCAAGCGCGCTTCGACATGGAACAGGCTTTGCAACAGCGTGTTGCAGCGCGTTTTCTTCCCTTGCTGTATATATTTAGTACAAACAGTAGTAGTACTGCTAAGTGTGAGCTGTTGAAAGTCAAAAGTTTTTGTTGAACGTTTAGTGCTTGTCTTCCCAGTATCCATTAGTGTCTTGTTCATCTACCAAACTAAATATTGCTCACTGCATTTCATTGCCATCAGTATGAGTACGAGTTGGCAGCTGAATAACTTGAACGTTTTTCAAAAGACCTGAATCATGATAGCTTGTTTGCACGAAACAACGCCATTGGTGCCATAATTGTTCACTGTTGCAATTAATATATTCACCTTTGTTAGCATGTGTATACATATACTTGTGTGTTTTTCCCCACCTGTCAGGTGAGGGTTGTTAGATTTTATGTCAGCCCTATCTCCTCCTCTTCCTCCTTCTCCTCCTCCTCGTCCTCCGCCGGACCTCAACCACGACCATCCATGCCCAGTGTTCCCTGCCGGACCTCGACGACAGCACACAACCACAAACACATAACCACAAACACAACCACAAGCAACCACAAACACACAACCACAAGCACAGCAACGAACACACAACTAGAAACACACAATCACAAACAGAACAACAACCTGACAAGAGACAACCACAAACACATAACGACAAACACAACCACAACCACACAACCACAAACACAACCACAAACACAACCACAGCACACAACCACAGTACACAACCACAAGCACACAACCACAAACGCACAACTACAAACACAACTACAAAGACGCAATCACAAACACGCAACCACAAACACAACCACAAACACAACGACAAACACACAACCACAAACACAACCACAAACACACAACCGCAAACACAACCACAAACACACAACCACACACAATCACAACACAACCACAACACACAACCGGAGGACCCAAGCAAAATCGAGAACCACAAAGCTCACCATAGTGCGGGAGCAATCAGTTCGAGGATCATATCTGTTGGCGCAGCTGTTTGCAAAGAGACTTGAGACAGGCAACATCCTACAGCAAGTAAAGTACATATTGCTACTCCTACTACTCGGGCCCCGGAAGCTTCCAAGTCTCGGGTCCCGAAGCTCGGGCCGCGAACTGTGCACTACTATTGCTACTACTACCACACTACTACCACTAGTACTAGTACTAGTACTGGTACTGGTACTGGTACTACTACTACTACTACTACTACTGCTGCTCGGGCCCTGGAAGTTTCCCAGGTGGAATGATGTGAGTTGTATTGTACTGTTAGTTGGGCACAGGTCTCCTGATCAAAGCATTCGCTTCGGACAAAGAAGTAAGACTTCGCGCTGAAGGACTTGTGCTATGGGCTGAAATACACAACGAGGGTGATGTCAACGTGGTTGTTTAGAAATGTCATGGTGGGGATCACTCGAAGTAAAGAAATTTTTGACCTGTAGGTTATTCTTCCACTGGCTTGTTCTTTGTTTAGGTTGGAGGCCATCGCTATGAGGGTGGAGGCCCTTGCTATTAGTTTGGAGGCCATTGCTATTTGCTTGCAGGCCATTGCTATTTGGGTGGGGGTCATTGCTACTGGGGTGGAGGCCCTTGCTATTAGCTTCGAGGCCATTGCTATTAGCTTGGAGGCCATTGCTATTTGGGTGGAGGTCATTGCTGTCAGGTTGGAGGCCATCGCTCTTAGGTAGGAGGCCATTGCTCCATTGCATTTAGGTCGGAGGCCATTGCTACTAGAAGGTTTCCTCAGTATGGGGGTTTTTGCCTCTAGGCGTTTCTTCTATGTGTTTTTTTTTGTTGTTTGGCGTGTGTCTTTTCAGAGTTGTTGTTTTGTTTTCGTTTTGGGGGGCTGTGGGGTCTGGCTCAAGGCTGCGCAAAGTGCTTACAATGATGCGCCGGGATCCCGAGCAGGCACTTTCTGGTGTTTGTCTCGAAAGTCTTCTTGAAAGAGCGAACAAAAAACGCATTTTGGGTTTTGAACGCTTATTCTGAATTATTGTTTACTCTTTTCTTGTTCGTTAATCTTTTCGAAAGTCTTCGCAGGAAATTTGCTTTCATGCGCCGTGGATGACCTTTTGCCCTTTGACCCAATGCCCAACATCCATCCCATGGACAGATTGTCAGCAGTTGCTTTCAGCAGTTGATGTCAGTTAAGCTTCCCTAAAAATCTAGGAACCATATGCGTGTTTGCTCCCAGGAGTTTGTAGTAGCGTCCTTGCTCCTAGTAGTAAGGCCAGGAGCCTCTAGTAGCGTCCTTCGTCCTGATAGTAAGGCCAGAAGCCCCTAGCAGCGTCCTTGCTCCTAGTAGTAAGGCCAGGAGCCCCTAATAGCGTCCTTGCTCCTGGGAGTAAGGCCAGGAGCCCCTAGTAGCGTCCTTGCTCCTAGGAGCAAGGCCAGGAGCCGTAGAAGGCCAGGAGCCCCTAATAGCGTCCTAGCTTGTGGATAGAAGCACGCGTAGCCCTCTTGTAGTTGCATGTGTTTCACTTTTGGCTCAAGCCGCTGAATGGTTTGAGGTTGAGCTCGGTAGGTAGCTGTAGGTAGCCGCTTAGCTCTGTTTCACCGCGTGAACGACCGCTCGGACTGAACTCGTGAGCGATAAACAGCTGCGCGTGCGCGTTTGACCGTCGACGCGGTCAAGACCGTTCGCGTCGCTCACAATTGGGGGCTGTTCTGGGAAGTCTCCTTGGTTAACGGAGAGCCCTTGCGGTCCCTAGGTTGCGGTTCGCGACTGGGATCGCGGGCGGAAGCTTGCGATTCGCAGCTCCGCCGCGGTAGAAAGAGACATGAGCAAAGAAGTTGCCGATCAGCCTGAGTCACTCTATATGGGAATGTATTGCAGACGGACGGGTCCCGGTCCCTGAAGAGATGAGTTTCTTCAAGTGGCAAGCCTGGAGAAAGGTTGAAGGTAAACGTCCTACGCGAAGACGAGACGGGAGAGGAACGATGAGGAGGAGGATCCGGAGGAGGAGTCTTCTTCTGAGTTAGTATAGCTGACGGAGCACGACCGGCTTCGGGAAGCCCGTCGCGAGCCCTGGTTCCTGTAGTAAAGTCGGGCGCTGGCCTGGGGGCGAGAGACAGTCCCAGATCATCATCCGCGGGCACAGGTGCCGCAGAAGTAGAGGAGTTGTTGAAGCAGCTCAAGGCATTGTACCGGATGAAGATATGTCCGAGTGCTTGACGCGGATTACTCGTCTCGTTTTGGCTTTGAAGACGGCCACAAAGTGTCGACCACTGACCTGGCCAGGGTCACCTTGAAAGCAGAGCTGGTCCAGGAGGCCTATGAGAGAGTTGGTGATCGTTGGGATGTCCGTGGAATGGTGCGGTACTTGAGAGAGAGTTCATCTGCTTCCACTTCACAGACCATGGCGACTGTCCGAAAGGTAGTTCCTGCCCATGGTCGCATGACAAAGAGCTACGAAAAAAGGTCCTTGCGGCTATGAAGGCCAGCGGAGGTAAGGGGAGAAGCCGGACCAGACCTTGGGAAGCAGAAGGGAAAAGAAAAGGACGCCGGGAAGGGCAAGGGTCAAGGGAACGGACCGAAACCTCAGGGTACGCTTTGTCCATTCTTCCAGAAGAATGGCGCGTGCAAGAAGGGGGCTCAGTGTGACATGGTCCACTCCTTGCCAGTCACTGGAGGAGAGAGTTCTAGCTTGCCTACGGGGCGATGAACAACCCGTTCGCCACGTTTTCAGTTGTGATCGGAGGTGTGGTAGGGTCCGCGGGGGCTGTTTCTCGTTTCGAGAGCGGCGCCGCGACTCAGCCGCCCCAAGTGCTCAGTTTGGAGCCTTCGAATCCTGCGGACGGGAAGTCGCGGTTCACTTCACTGAATGCCAGCCAAACCGGAATCCAATTAATTGTGAGGTCGGATTGGATGACCCCGAATTCAACAGAGTGGTTGGTCCAGCCCTGCTTGAGCTCGCTCTTCAGGAGATAGCGATGCCATCCAGCGCAGCAGCCATTCACGATTCTGGAGGCCGAACTGAGACCGTTCTTCTTGAGTCATTGGCCGAGCTGGGCCATAAGCCCAATCAAAGTCCTCAGGCTGCCCTTCACCTTTTCCTTGTCCCTTCCCCTTTCTTTTTCCTTTCGCCCGGGCACTATAGGTCGATTGACTTCACGGCCCAATCAACCGTGATTGAGTTGCCCTGTGAAGGCTCGGAGCTTGTGCTTCCGGGAGGTCCTTGGATTGGTGGCGGCTGCGGCATTCCAGTTGCATGATCGCTCCCTGGTTCTTGAAGAGTGTACACAGCAGGCAATGAACTGCCTCAAAAACAACTTGATGAAGATGACCAACACTGATCGCAGATGCGAACGCTCTGACCGGCCGCGCCTAGGATCGAAACCCGCCCGGATGGTCGCAGTCCTCCGGGTTGCGAGGATAGCTTGTCAGCTGCAGGTTGGCTTGCGCTGAAGTCTGCATGGTGACTGCTGTAGACGGAGTCAGCTGACTCAGAATGCTATCCCGTAGGCCTCAGGCTGTGAGCTGCGTAGAACATCACCGAGCGGCCGACAGTCCTGCATGATCAGCTGATTCATCAGGTTCTGGAGCACAGCGCACCGTCGCCTCAGCCATGAGGGTGGAGCGCGACCCGGCTGCATGAACGAGTGGAGGTGCTGCAGGATGATTAGCTGCTGGTATAGCGCTTGAGCGCAAACTTCACGAGCTCCAGGTGACCAAACATCAGGGAGGTCCTTGTGGTTGAGGGGCATCGAAAATGGCCAAGGTGGCATCTGTGCAGGCCATTCATCAAGTACAGCGATGTGCCCACGGGAGCTGAGATAGAGGTTGGTGGTTGTACCCACGGCTCGATAGTGCATCTTCCCAATTGAAATGTCCGGCAAAGCGCCGAGGGCTACCACACATTGTCTTGACATCAAAGCGGGGGCATCTTCATCAACGCATGAGAAAAACATCACTGCGAACGAACCACCAAGACCAGCTGGATATGCGAAACGCTCGTGCGAGCTCGAACCATTGTGGGGCCCAAACCTAAACATGGTCTTCTCCTTGAAGCTCAACCCCCGGAGGCCCACATGTTGCGCATGAGCTGCATGCCATCGTTTTCCGGCGACTTGCCTCTGGCGTCCGGTGTCCACGATGGCTAAACAGGGCTCGCCCACGTATACTGCATGTAAGTCGTGAGACTTGGAGCCGGATCAAAAGGTCGGTGGGTTCGTCGTCGACTGTCGTTTCAACAATCTCCTCATCAGCCAAGTCCTGGCTGCCAGCATCCATCCAGGCGCTTGCCGATGTGGTCCTCAGGGTGGATGGCTGCAGAGGAGTCGAACATGTAGCGCTGACCGTCAGCACCGATCTGCTGACATCAGGGTTGCTGCGAGTCCCTGATGTGTGTCTGTCGTTGCCACGGGCACTGGTGAAGGTCTGCCGTCTCGGCCCCTCCCCACCGAGTCGTCGTGTGCCCATCCTTGTCTCAAAACCATGGCGCGCGCCGACTCCGGATTCGTGAGGAGCGAACGCGCGCCGCGGAACGCACGCGCCGAAGAACGCGCCGAATGCCCTAGTAGCTATAGTCGTAAGGCCCTTGCTCCTAGTAGCGATGCCAGGAGCCCCTAGTAGCTT